TACTACCCATTCATTACTTTCTTCTTTCCTTTTCTTTCCATATCCTCTCACTATCTCACTTTTTATAAGAACCATCCGTCACTTATCTTCTCTCTCTCTCTCTTCTCTTTTCTCTTGCTTTTCCTTCTCCCTGGCAATCTAATATACCAGTCCATGGTATTGTTTCCATTTACTAAAAGTTTTCAGTATGAAGAGCTGAATATATAGATATTCAAGAAATAAATTATAACCGAAATGAACATTTATGGTTTTCTTCTGTATATATATATATATATATATATATATATATATATATATATATATATATATATATTCCCTCGAGATTGATTTGATTAGCAAATAAAAAATTCGAGGGTTTTTCGAAACGAGTCTAGTTCTCTCTCTCTCTCTCTCTCTCTCTCTCTATATATATATATATATATATATATATATATATATATATATATATATATAAAAGATTAATGAAAATATGAAATGTTGATTGATGTTATGTCCAGTATCGACACTTCAGAGTTTCGTAGACTGACATTTTAGTAATCACTCTGTCCACTTTTCAAGAGTAATCAGCAATTTAAAAACACTTATAGTAAGACAATGCTAAGTAATATTAAAAAAAGTTCAGTAAAACTGCTTAACACTACATGCTTAATTTACTGTTTGTTCAGAATTGTCAATTGCTTTCTCTATTATTTATTTTTCAAACATTTTAACAACGAGAATAATAAAAAAATTTCTTATATATTTGATTATGATTTTATATATTTGATTCTTTCCTTTTTTATAGTTTTACAACTATTATTGTCATTAAAGTAATATTCGATGACGATCTGTTTATTCTGGCATCCGCTGTAAAATATATGTGTGTATGTCTATCCGTGTATGTTTCTATGTGCATACTCTGATGCTTGCTACTTGTCACGGCGTCGAGTGAAGCTGAGAACGATGACATCGGGAATTTTAAAGTGCTGGTATGTCACCCTTGGCGGAAAGGTCGAAGACGAGGTCCCAGACTAAGCACAACCATCCCCAAATAGAGCAAGGGTAGAACAAGCGGATGTTGATTACAACAGATCTCAGTAGTTGAACCAGCGGATGAAGAGAGCGCTGCATGACGGAGTAATCGGCAGTAAATAGCATTTTCATAACTGGATTATACTTGTCTCATTCCATATGTGCCGCAGAAGGGGTCCTTGAAATCAAGTGTGGGGTTCACTTCTTGGCAAGTTGAGGTCCATCTTAAACAAGTTCATGCTATCAGCATTTTCTTCTACTCAGATTTTCTTTCACCTCAAAGCAACAAGTTCAAAAGCCAAATGGCAATATGGGAGCAAGTTTTCGTGAAACAGGAATTATTAATGCTATCATCATAAAGGAAGTGATCAGCAAAGAAGAAATTAAATTCTTGGATACGAGATAAAGCCGACGACGACGACGATCGGCGAAGCATCTTGGGAGTTATTTCCACATTTGATGAAGAGAGCGCTGCATGACGGAGTAATCGGCGGTAAATAGCATTTTCATAACTGGATTATGCTTGTCTCATTCCATATGTGCCGCAGAAGAGGGTCTTGAAGTCAAGTGTGGGGTAAACTTCTTGGCAAGAAGAGAAGCACCTTAAACAAATTCATACTATCAGTATTTTCTCCTATTTTGATTTTCTTTCACCTCAAACCAAAACTTGCAAAAGCCAAACGGCAATAGGGAATGGATGATAGGAGCAAGTTTTGGTGAAACAGGAAAGTTCTAGTCCTAAATCTTCACATTGGTAATAAATTTAGTCATCAATGACATCATCATAAAGGAAGTATCAGCAAAGAAGAAATTAAATTCTTGGATACGAGATAAAGCTGACGTTCATACTCTTGGATAAATGAAAGTTTCTTTCTATTCATACACATACACGCACGCACACACACACACACACACACACACAAACACACATATATATATAAGATTCATATAAAACGAGTTAGAGAGTGTGTGAGAATTATTAAAAAAGCAAACTATATTCTAAATTAGGATTAATAAAAATATGAAATATTGATTGGTATTATATTCAATATTTAGACTCCGGAGGTTCGTAGACTGACATTTTAGTAATCACTCTGGAGTAATTAGCAATTTAAAAATATATTAGTAAGACAATGCTAACTAATATTAAAAAGGTTCAGTAAAACTGCTTAACACTACATGCTTAATTTACTGTTTGTTCAGAATTGTCAATTGCGTTCTCTATTATTTATTTTTCAAATATTTTTAACAACGAGAATAATAAAAAAAAATTCTTATATATTTGATGATTTATTCTTTTATTTTTTTCCCTTATTTATTGTTTTGTTTCTATTATTGTCATTAAATTAATATTTATTCCGACATCGGCTGTAAAATATATGTATGTCTTTGCGTTTTTGTTTCTATGTGCGTACCTCTGATGATCACTACTTGTGGCATCCAGTGATGCCGAGAACGATGTCGTCGGGAGTTTTAAACTGCAGGTTGGCTACCGTTGGCGGCAAGGTCGAAGACGAGGACACAGATTAAACTTCTATTCCAACCCCCCAAAGATATCCAAGCGGATGATGATTAGAACAGATCTCAATAGTTGAACCAGCGGATAAAGAGAGCGACGCATGACGGACATGCTGTAGATAGAGTCAGCGGCAGTCCATAGCAGTTACATAACTGGATTAAATTCTTGATACGAGACAAAGCCGACGATGATCTAACCATCTGTTCATACTCTTGGATAGTTGAAAGTTTCTTTCTATTCACACACACACACACACACACACACACACACACATATATATATATGTACACGTTATATTGGGTATATTTAATTGGAAACTGCAATATATTTATTTGAAGGAGATAGGTATTTATTTAGATCACTACCTTATTAAAATATATTTATATACCGATCCAAAAATATCGTATAAAAGAATTATTAATGAAATGATCTGATACTGTTTGAATTCCATATTTACAGCATATATATATATATATATATATATATATATATATATATATATATATATATATTTAAAAAAAAACAGACCACTTTAAGGTTACATTATAATATTTATTTCACCAGAGCCATTTTAAAGGACTCTGGATCATCAGATAGCACTTCCAAAAGATGAAACAAAACGAAATGAAATGAAAATTAGTACTTTTGATGGATAGTGTAAGTTTTGTAATTTAACAGAGGGGCTAATGAGGGGTGGTTTGAGAGACATGGTCGAGTTTCGAGAGGGTTTATTTGAAAATAAATATTAAATAAACCCTTGAGTACATTTATAGTAGGACAAGGATAAGGAGGTGTCAATGGATAAAAGTTACAAAAGATAGGAATTTTATCGGAATATTTGGGATGAGGTCTTAACATTATTAAATGTTTCGCTTTGTATTCATTTGGATCTTGTCGGTACGACTGAGAGTGGAATGTGATCTGGGTTTCGCACGGCCTTCATGTGCCAACTTGCAGGCCTACGCTATGGAGAGTTCACTTCAGTCTCACCATCAAAGGACTTAATTTTGACCGAACATTATGCTAGCATTACCTCGCAAGATGTCTACAATATGTTTTGGGTTAGCATGCTTACCTTGGCTGTTATACTGACTGTTGTGGTAGGATCCACCTAATTTGCATAGTGGAGTACCGACCTTATAAATATGGTTGGTACCGGGAAGAAAGGGGAGGAATCAAGAGATTCAACCAGAGACTCTGCCCGACTGCGACTCAGTCAACACATTCTCCAGGAACGGTCTTACCAGGAATATACAAAAGACTATATGTAAATATTGTGTACACTTTCTTGTTTCAATACATTTTGTTCTAAGTACATTTTGTGTTGCATTATTATTCCATGCATTAGTCAAGTTTCAACATTGACGACATTTTTCAGGTGTCTATCTTTGTACTTTGTAACTTTCTTAGAATTAATTTCAAAACCCTAGCATTACTGAGTGCGAAGACCGACACCCGAAAAATGCGGGACGGAACAATGGACAAAACCTAAGCATAAAATCTAAGATGAACATACTATACCAAATAGTCAAGCATGAAGTTGTAGGTTGCCACAAGTGACTACGTATTGAAATGTATTATTTTTTCTATGTGCTGCGTTCTGTCATGATATGACCAATCATGACACTCTAAAAGTATCCCTTGTAACGCTTAGTAGTTGTGTTTTTTTTTTTACTATTACTAAATCTCCCGAACACGTTTCGCTGTCTATTCATACAAGCTCGTCAGGTAAGTGGTTCGCTGTTTTCCATATCTCTCTTGCCCTCAATATGTCTTTTCAATCCTTCCAAAAAATTTCGGATCTATTTTCCTGATTCTGGGTATAAGTTTTCTTTTCCTTAACATTTTCTTTAAGACTTCCTCATTCCTAAATGCAGACTTTTACCAAAATTAAAACATTCTTGAGGACAATATTCATTAAAATACAATTCAGTTCAATTTGACAAAGACGATGGACATAAAAAACAAGTCTTATCCAAAACAGATAACTGAAAATTTTTAAAATGATTAGCGAGATTAATGCTCGACAAGCATACACATAAAATTTTTTAGATCCTAATAGAATTCTTTTCATATTCTTTTTCTTTTTCATTCAAAATAATCAAAAATTTTTAGGAATACGTTTTGAAAGCGTCGCCCATGTGACGACAACGTGACCATGCTAAACCGAAAGCTGATCATTTTAAAAATTTTCAGTTATCTGTTTTGGATAAGACTTGCTTTTTATGTCCATCGTCTTTGTTAAATTGAACTGAATTGTATTTTAATGAATATTGTCCTGAAGAAGGTTTATTAAACCGAAACGTCAGACGTCGACATTTCATTCATTTTAAACAACATAATTGCATTTAAGGATTTTTGTTTGTTTTTTCCCAAATTTTTCTTCATACTGACACATGTATTACATACTGTTACATAAATTACGTACCGCTACGCATATTACATACCGTTATACACATTAAATACCCTTATGCACATTACATATCGTTATATATATGCCGAAAAACATCCGGACAATTTCATTCGTATCTATAAAACTGTATTTTTATTTTATTTTTCTCAATTTGTCTAAAAATTAATAAATACAGAAAAATAGAAGCCAACGGTATTCACAACGATTATAATTTTAAGCATTTCCAGTTTTATCAGAGATGAGCAAACTTAATGAATTTAAGCGCAGTACTAGATTGGCGGCATGGTCCCATTATTTTATAGTTGAAATGACTAGATGTAACCGTAAGTTCTATGCTAACATTTCCTTCCATCACATGTCTGGCGTGTTGAACTTTCTTCTGGCTCCTTGCTTCCTTGTCAACTTTGAGCTTCAAAAATGTAAATGCAGTATCAATCATTGTCTTGTTTTCTTAATTTCTGTTCTTTTATTATTCTCTCTCCTTAATAAATAAGCTCATTCAGTAGCCCTCTTACGTCTTAGTGACTTTATTGCATTTCTTGGGGTGAGATGATTAAAAAAAATCAGTTATTTGTAGAGAATATTGAGTGATTATAAATAACTCACGATTTGTGTTGTCTGCCCGCCGCTGTAAAGTTATCAATTAATATAAAGTAATCGATAAGCACGTCTATTTGTCTAATACAGACACTTTCAACAATTTCACAATCCTCTTAGTGACATCCATATGATTAAAATATAACTTTAAAATCCGATATAAAAATATAGAAAATCACATATATTATCAGATATTTCTTCACTAAAAAGAGATCTATTCAGGCCCGTTGTCAAGTGGGGCTCATCGGGGTTGTCCTCCACTCATAGAAAACCATTTTCCACTCACTGCGAAATGATGTTAAACAATTTCAAGCTTAAGTCCGGGGGCCGTAAATAATTCTTACATGCCCACTGCGCATCAAAAATACATATAAAAAGAATGTATAAAAATGTAAAAAGAATGTATAAATGTCTTAAAATAATTATCGGAGTTTGTCCATTTCATAATGTGTGACGTCATTTGTTTACATTTGGATACGCCATGAGCAGATATGAATGTACGTGAGAGATTCATAGAAGATTGAAGTTTAAATACAGTAAATTCGACCTTGCTAACCGAACTCTCCCCTGTGGAGGAAACGGTTAAAGCACGTCAGGCTATATGACAGTTCCGTATAGGATACAGGTTCGATTCCTGCTGCAGGATACGCCATGAGCAGATATGAATGTACGTGAGAGAATCATGGAAGATTGTAGTTTAAAGACAGTAAAATCGACCTTGCTAACCGAACGCTCCTCTGTGGCTGAAACGGTTAAGGCATGTCAGGCTATATGACGGTTCCGTATAGGATACAGGTTCGATTCCTGTCGGAGGACGAATATTTTCTATGAAAATTTCTCGGACATTCAGTCGGTAAATGTTTAATACTGTTTAGTATAAACAGAGCATTTACTTTATTTGTATCTATAAAAGAATGTATAAACATAAAAATGTCTTAAAATAATTGTCGGACTTTGTACAGAGAAGTTTGATTCGCTGGGCAAAGTCAAGTATACCTGCATTTTGAGGGTGTACTGAAAAGTTTTCGAATGGACCCATTTCCCAGAATCTAACCAAATGACAAAATATTTTCTCGGAAAAAGTCTTCTTGGTTGAACCGAAAACTTTTTAGCACCTATCGTATTTGTGTGACTTGAAAATCTAAGAAGCCCGTATCGATTCCTGGTCAGCGGTTTTCTAGAGTTTCTTTGATAATAAATAAATAAGAGTTTGGCCGACAACTTACCGTTGACCAGTCAAGCGGCATTGACTGTCTTCAGCAATTCCTAAAAATATCCCCTTTTTTTTTCATATTTACAACGACCGCAAGAACAAAAACTTTCAGCAATTCTCAGTGAAATTTGTACGCCTTAATCTATCTCTTTATTCAGCCTATTTCTTTCTTTCTCTCTCTCTCTCTCTCTCACCTCCCGTCTCCCTTTCTTCCATTTCCTTTCCCCCACAAACGTTGTCCATTGTTATAGTGAGGAGGGGGGGCGTTTTTCCCCTCCAACTGTGTATAATCAAAGGTTTTTATAAATAGAAAATGTTGACCTGACGAGTCTGATTCGGACTGACGTTGACGTACAAAAACAGGGAAACACTGAATGACAAGCGAAGAGACGAAAGAATCGTTGAACAGGATTGACACGTATATGTATATCCAAATATACGCATACATACGAACACAAAAAGAACACAGTTGATACGCAGATACATACGCAATACACATATACTGTGAACTGAATTGACACGTATATACCTACACTAAAACAATCACAGTTGTATATACACAGAAAGTAGTAAATCTACGAATACTGGCGATAAGTATACGCATATATAAACGAAGACTTGATTTAATATACACAGAAGTAAAAACGTAAGCAAACACAATAATAGGAAAAGGTTCAGTATAATATAGGAACACTTGCCCTCCCTTATAAATATATGGAGACAGAAGATTCATAACATCTACCCAGGTGGGCAAGCAGACGAACAACAGATACAGACATACAAAGATAGCCTTGTTAAGGCGGAGATAGCGATAGCAAACTAGTTTCAGAGACTAAAACGATTTAAATAAGTTCTACTCTTACTTGGTGCCCTATTACAGTTTTGTAGCAGGATAAATTAACCTTATTAAACAACTAGGTCACTTTGTAATAACCATTAATTAACAAGGTAACAATAAACGCAATTAGTATCATAGTGTAACCAATGGTCATCGGACGCACATTGTGGTTTTACGCGGGTACATGAAATACACTCCCCACATATATATATATATATCCCCTGACGATTGGATGCAGGGATTCACGGAGTGTGCATAACTATCAACTAAGTGGCAAAACTTTTACTTGTATTTTCTTTCTCTCTCTCTCTCTCTCTCTCTCTCTCTATCTATCTATATATATATATATATATATATATATATATATATTTAACATTCTAGAAATATTTAAGTAACTGCTCTGTTTATAATAAACAGTATTAAACAACATTTACCGGCCTGAATGTCCGAGAAATTTTCACAGAAAATGTTCGTCCACCGACAGGAATTGAACCTGTATCCTATACGGAACGGTCATTTAACCTTACCTGCCTTAACCAATCGAGCCACGGGGAATTGTTCAATTAGCAAGGTCGATTTTACTGTTTTTAAACTTCAATCTTCCATGAATCTCTCACGTACTTTCATATCTGCCCAAAGCGTATCCAAATGTAAATAAATGACGTCACACATTATGAAATGGACAAAGTCAGACAATTATTTTAAGACATTTTTATGTTTATACATTCTTTTTATAGATACAAATATTTAAATAAATGCTCTGTTTATAATAGACAACATTTACCGGCCTGAATGTCCAAGAAATTTTCACAGAAAATATTCGTCCTCAGGTTTTAGGTTAGGGGCCATAAGTTAATACTGAACGATTAAAATCGAAGAAAATAAGTAAATGCTTTATTAAAATCGAATAAAATATAAAATAAAATCTTTCGACCGATACTTACTCAGAAGTCAATCTTCGTATTAAAATACTATATATATATATATATATATATATATATATATATATATATATATATATCTGTATGGGACAAAATCGAAAAGATTTAAGGAGCGACAGTCTGTTTCATACTTGGACGCAATATTCGGACCATGAGTTCTTTATTCATATACGCTCAAACTTTATTTACAATCTTTTACCGTAAGAAATACACATAATACTTGTTTACATATATGTGTATATTGTATTATTATTTACATACACTATTATTTGTTTACATAGAGTGTATATTATAATATTTTATACTATTAAAAAATATAAATATTATAAACTATATATATCACTTCGTTAAGTATCCTAGAAATTTCGACTGCATCTTCCTGATATTAATTATAAGTGTACTTTTTTTATTCTATTTTCTCGTTGTTCACATCTTCGGTTCATGGAATTCTCATCATCATTCTGTAGGACTACATTTTTGTTGCTTCAAGTCTGAACAAAAAGAAGGAAAAACAATTTGGAATATTATTTCTGTCTCCATTTCTGGGGTGAGAAATTATCATTATTTACACTCGAACAGTTATCAGCATCATAGTTATCCTCCCTGAATTCCTAGGATGAGTTATCGTTTACATGCGGTCTATTGCCTTTATGTTTGTTGTTGTTATCATAACGTTTCACCCGTACGATCACAGAAGTTAAGCAATATCAACCCTGGTCAGTATCTGGATGGGTGACCGCTTGGAATATCAGGTGCCGTAAGATTGGATATTTGGGTGGTGTAATAGATAATGGCTCGGAATTGTTATCGCGATAGTATTTTTGATGCGCAGTGGGCATGTAAGAATTATTTACGGCCCCCGGACTTAAGCTTGAAATTGTTTAACATCATTTCGCAGTGAGTGGAAAATGGTTTTCTATGAGTGGAGGACAACCCCGATGAGCCCCACTTGACAACGGGCCTGAATAGATCTCTTTTTAGTGAAGAAATATCTGATAATATATGTGATTTTCTATATTTTTATATCGGATTTTAAAGTTATATTTTAATCACATGGATGTCACTAAGAGGATTGTGACGCATTTCGGACTTTATCAAAGCAAATGCAGAGGACGAAACGCGTCGGCTAAGAATAGATTTTCCTCTTGTATTATATCCATTTTTTTCCTTTGCAGACACTCTCTTTGAATATATATATATATATATATATATATATATATATATATATATATATATATTGTGGAAATATATGTCAATGTGAGCACACTCTTGTTTTTGTTAGTTACTCCTATATTTACTTATTGTAATAAATAAAATTTAATTTTGCAATCAAATTACCTGACGAGTGGATGTAATCTTTACGAAAATCTGAAGAGTGATAGCATAAATGAACATTTAACTTTATTATATAATACTAAAATTTAATGTTTCATTATATCAAACACTATAATTACAGACTGTTTTATTTGAAAAAATACACTGGTAGACATTTTTTGGGTTAATGTTATATTTGTTTACACACAACTGAATGAATAGATTTTAAGCACATTAAAAGAAAAGATAATGAAATATAAAGAAACACGTTAAAAAAAAAAGGAAATATATAAGACCTGAAATGAAGAGGTAAACATAGGAAGAAACAGATAATGGGACTTATCAAATTAACAAAAATAACTACAAATGAAAACGAAACAAATGAGTAAATTGTCGCCATTTTATATTTTTAATTTCGTGCATGCGCATTGGTTCTTTTTGATTTTGTCGACTGCTCAGTATAGTAGGGCACCGTCTGTGAGAAAAAGAGCACCATAACGCAATTCATTCCGCCAGAAATTTAGAAACGGCATGCTGTACTGTATGACATTCTCGCCGGAATCTTCAATAAGAGTGTTTGGGTGTCAATCTGATGTCAGTGCAAACAATTCGGAAAGAGTTAGATGATATATCAGCAGTCTACATCATGGTGTTTGGAGTGATCACTAATGATGGCGATGTTATGCCTTGCCTCCATTCATCTTCCCACGGGGCCTCAGACTCAACACGGAGGCCTGCATCAAGTGGCTTGATGAGGTAGTGCTGTCCTGAGTCAAAAAGATGACTGCTGGAAACCCTATGTCTGTCAACAAGACTTTGCACTATGCCACACAAGCAAGAGAATACAGTCATGGCTGTCAAACAATTTCTGCGGCCATATCACCCCATTACATCTGGACACCTAACTCTCCAGACTAGAACCCACTTGATTATGTGTATATGTGGGGCGATGCTGAGCAAGTGATCAACAAACCTCCTTGTAACCAAAAATGAACTGAAGGCAGCATTCACCAACTTAAACAAGGAGAACATCTAGAGATGCAGGAGGTTCCGAAGTCATCTGGAAGATATCAGTGTTATTTTCATTTTTGCGTAATTTAGACGAAAATATATCCGTATCTGTCTATATTTCTGACATGAGGTATTATGTACAATATTTACATTATTCGGACTATTGTCCTCATCTTTGTCGCCATATTTATTACAACGTTTCGGCCTTTCAGTATCTGTCTATATTTCTGAGATGAGATATTATGTACACTATTTACATTATTCGGACTATTGTCCTCATCTTTGTCGCCATATTTATTACAACGTTTCGGCCCTTCAGTATCTGTCTATATTTCTGACATGAGTTATTATGTACACTATTTACATTATTCGGACTATTGTCCTCATCTTTGTCGCCATATTTATTACAACGTTTCGGCCTTTCAGTATCTGTCTATATTTCTGAGATGAGGTATTATGTACACTATTTACATTATTCGGACTGTTGTCCTCATCTTTGTCGCCATATTTATACCAACATTTCGGCTGTTGTACTCTCCGGCCTTATTCAGGTGGTTGGAATATCGAACTGAACCCTTTAATTCGCTCACTAGAGTAGACTGTTCTAGTTTCACGTGCCGTGTTTAATGGATGTCAGTTATCAGTTATCTCCTGTTAATTCCCCTCTCCAAGTTCTCCACTGCCTTAACACTCTTTGGGTACTGTCACTGGATCTAACTAATGCCTTTATCCACTATGCCATGTGTCCAATATATCTATCACCTGTAGATACAGACAGACAGATAGATATTGTCATGGGTATGATGATAAACTACGTCCAACAGCAAGGCCTCTGATCAGTAGGTTTTAGGGAGCGTGGAACCACGTCTTAATTGCTTGTGTTACCAGGTCCACCCTTACCCGTAGTGGTAGCACCTGTTAGGGTCCCAGCTATGGACAAATAGTTAACCCTGAAACTGAGATAAAAAGCATTGTAAAAGTATAAAGATAGGTTTTAATACTAGAAATACTTTGTAAAAATATTATCAGAAATAAATTTTCGAAGAAAAAAATATTGCCCAAAATACATTTTTAAAATAATATTACCAGCTATACATTTTTCAGAAAAAAAAATATTACCAGAAATAGATTTTTTACAAAACAAAA